AAGCCCAAACGCGAAACCCTAAACCCCAAACCCGAAACTTTAAACCCCAAACCCTGAACAGCTCAGCCTAAACTTTAAACAGCTTAGGCCATCCCCAGGCAGCTTGCCTCGAGATCCCACTAGCTCTGTGGCTGCCTTTAAGGCAGCACAGCCAGCTGCTTGGTCGGCCTTGCTGGGGCGCATTAAAGGGGAGGAGGTTAAGGGTTTAGGGTTTTAGGGATTGAGGATTTGAGGATTTCGGGGGTTAGGGTAAAAGGGTTTAAGGCTCAAGTTCTAGGGCAGGATTAGGGGTCTAGGGCTAGGGTAAAAGGTTTAGGGGAGGGGTTCCGGGTTCATTAACGGCGCTTAAGGGGCGTATGGGGTACATAGGGCCATACATGCGTATAAAAGGCAGTCAAGAGGGGGCATAGGGATATGTAGGGCCGAACAGGGGTATATATGGTATTTAAGATTTAGGGTTCAGGGGCTTCTGAAAACAGGCTCTAAGCACAGAGGTAAGGTGAGGGCCCTTAGGGATATTTGGGGGCCATAACGAGACTATGGCGTGATCATGCTTTGATGAATCCGCTGTCCAGCTTTTCGCTGGAAGGCTACCCCACCCTAAACCCTAAACCCCAAACTAACCCTAAACCCTAAACCCTAAACCCTAAACCCCAAACTAACCCTAAACCCTAAACCCGAACCAGCTGTCCCAAATGCCGCCAAGTGTCTAGACCCTCTGCACAGAGTAGGCCAGGAAGTTCGTCCAAAAGGGAATCGATCCTCAGCACCCAAACGCATAGTACAGGGGCCTGAATCACTACAATTACTTATTTGAGGTACCCTAGACTATAATTACACAAGGAATGTAGGACTAGAACACTGGTATAAAGCCACAGTTTCCATTCTATTTGTCCATTATCTTTTCCACTTGATGCTGCATTGTCCTAAGGCCTTTTTACTCCTATAGAACCTTGTGTGATCTTCCATTTGGGTTTGGTAGTTTCCATGCATAGGGGGCCACAATATAGACCACAACATACTGCAATACTTAAAGACTTAACATGTGTAGCAGCCCCAAAAAATCAACTGATTTACGGAAACTCCAATTTAGGCCTTTACGTCAGAGGCTTGATGCTTCGCAACCCTAAAGCTTCAACCCTAAACCTTAAACCTCAAACCCCAAACCCTGTATAACCTCATTATAGTCGCTTCCATTCTATTTTCCACTATCCCAATATAGCCCCAATATACTGATGCAGTAGTTTCCAATTTACTTTCCATTATCCCTATATTACCCCAAGTATACTATGATTGTTTCCATTTTGTTTTCCATTATCCCAATATAGACCCAAAATAACCCTTATACATACCCAATTAAAAAAAAGCTGCCATTGTATTTTCCATTATCCCAAATTTGAACCCCAATATATCCTAACCCTAAACCCTAAACCCCTATTGTAATATAGTAGCTACCCTTGATGCTTTGCAAGCAGAGCAATGTCTTCCAGGCCAGCCGCTGGCTACGGTAGGCAGGATCCTGGAGTGTTGGGAGCTTCTATAGGGTTTAGGTTTATAGGGGAACTATAGGGGTATACCTAAAAAGTGAAATAGAAGTATATATGGGGTGTAGGGTTTATGGGGGAACTATAGGGGTTTTAGGGTTTAGGGGTATACATAAAGAATCGAATATGAGTATATATATTCGAGGTGGACCCCCCCCACCCTGTAAGAGTGGTATAATAAGAATATAAGAGGACCCTGTTTCAATCATCATTCTCCCTTACAGTCACTATTGCTGGGTGCGAGGTCCACCTAAGGTATATATGGGGTGTAGGGTATAGCGCTTGACAAAACTAGAGGTCTTGAAGCTAGTCAATGTAACATCTTGCAAAAAATGAGCCGCTAATATAACCCTGCATGATTTGTAGAGCGCCTGAAATGGATCCCCTGCCACCTCAGTGTCTCTCTTGGTTTTGGAAAAGCCAGCGTTTGGTGCCATTGCCAACCACACCTTGCACAGCAAGATGGTCTGGGATTTAAGATCTTTTAAGTAGATAGAATGAATATGGGGTATCTGCGGATCTTACTATAATATTACTACTACTTGTACTATTTTGGGCAATTCTATACCCTATCAACTTTAGGGGGACGATAGGAGATCCTAGCGGCCCCCCTCTGCTAGAGGACTTTTAGAGAAACTCTTTGATCGCTTTTAGGGGTCCCCTCAATAAGGTTTAGGGTTTTTGGCCTAAACCCTAAACCCTAATCTGGGGAATAGGGTTTAGGGTTTAGGGCTAGTTTGCATCCACACGGGGACCAACCATATAGACCACGCATACTATACATAGTCCTTGTTGTGAAGATCCCCAAGAAGGAACCCTAAATTTTGCAAACTCTAATCTCTGTAAACCGCTATATGACTCCAGATTCTATGTCATTTACGATGTTCTTTTCCTTGCCATTATTGAGGTAACATCCCCCATAATCTCTATAGGGACCCCTACTGTCCAGAAACTTCCACAGTCCGGGAACTGACATCTGCTGAGTCTGCTTGGAGTCCTCCGCATCTACCAGCAGCGCCTCCGCACCACAGGGTGCAAACGGATCCTGCAAGAGTTGCTATTTGTGGTTTAGGATTTAGTTTTGGGGCTACGCTGAAAGTGCGGGATACCCTAGAGACCGTCCGTGATGTGTCGGGCTTGGAGAAAGGACTAAAACCGGCTGCTTATCAGTACCACTCATACTTCGGGACCATTTGGGGGTACAAAGGAACCCTAATTTAGAAGCTACCCATCGATGCAAAACAAGAACACCGCTGTAAGCGAATCTATCATGTGTCCTCCGTGTCAGACACTGTAATCTGGCGTGCGCAGTCCTGAGAGATAAAACAAAGCGCGCTGCTCTTGGCTAGCATGCAGTGTGCTGAGACGACTAATCCCTAAACCCAAATCCCTAAACCCCAATCCCTAAAGCTTTGAAAGCACAGCGTTTCAGCTTCCGACCAACCCAGGATAGAAGGCAAAGAAGTGCAGCGCGTGATCAAAGACTATGAGGCCGATCCTCGCACCGCTGCTGATACTTTGGCTTACTATGGGGGGGTGTTTCAGGGATATAGATAGGATCATATAAGGTCGTGAAGCGATGTTACGCCAACAATGGAACAATAAATGTCAAATAACATGGAAAATGGAATGGACACAGCGGGATGCTATCAGGGTTGATATTGTTAATCCTAAAAATCCTGCATGATATTAGCAGGCTATCGTACCATAATAGCCAAGGTATTAAAAAGCACTCAGGGTCGTGCAGGACCTTTAGTATTCACCGTGAGGCATCATTTTCAGATGATCGTTTTTTCTCTCGGAATAGCACAAGCGACGCGCCTACCCTACATGTCCCTACAAAACCCCTGTGGCCCTACATAACCCTGTATAAACCTATCAATGCTACATGAGCTATAGTCTAAACTCCTAGTATCCCCATAGTCTAAACTCCTAGTATCCCCCTTAATATCCCCTATAGTAGTCCCCTATAGAATCCCCATATAATTCCCCTTTAAGGAGTTTA